GTGCTTGTCTCTGTGGTCATGTAGTTCTGTGATTTTACATTTATGAATCTGGCTCTGCCTTACAGCCTGAAAACATAGATTCTAAGTCATTAATTTACTTATTTGCAGTATTGGGTATCAAACTCAGGACCTTGTGCTTGCCAGGCAGGCACTTAAGCCACTGTGCTATCTCCCTGGACCAAGCCCATTAAATCATGTAAAATATGGATAATATATAGGAGGTAGTTATGGTGATGATGAGGATGTCCATTTTATGGCTCTAACATAGGAAACTTGGGGAATGTGAGTCATTATTTGAGGTAAACCCACCATCTAAGCTCCTCACCCTTGTTCTTGACCTTTGTGTCGTGGCCCCTCCCAAGGTTTTTTTGGCTTTCTTCATCCTGGTGGTCTAAGAAAGCACCTGTGAAGCTCTACAACCATTCCTGTCATGCCTCCCCTTACACCTCTTTCCTGTTGTGTTCCTTCAGCTCAGTAAACTGCATGCAGCAAAAGCTAGAGGTTTGGCCCATGTGTGGGCGACTGGCAGGGGGCATTACCCTGTCACTGCGGTCATCTGCACCATGGAGCAAGTATTTACATTGTAAGTAGTCATGTCCTAACCTCTAAGCGTAGCTACCTGGGAGAGGTGATACTTTTGAGTGTGTGTGTGTGTGTGTGTGTGTGTGTGTGTGTGTGTTTGGGGCAGAGTCTCACTATATGCAGTTTAGGCCGGACTTGAGCTCTCTTTGTGTTCTAGGCTTGTCTTGAATTTGCAATGATCTTCCTGCCTCAGCCTCCTGGAGATGGCACATTTGATTTTGGTCTTCACAATGCTGTGATATGGTTGGGGAGATAAGACCCCCACACATATGAAGGAACTACAGTGACAAGACAGAGTAGGAGAGCAACAATATATAGGGATAATGTTTTTGAAAATATAAATGTTATTAAAATATAATCACTATAGTTAATTAAAAAGTCTGTAGTCATAGTCTAAAAATCTAGTAGTTAAGAGGATAATAAGAAGAAGCATTTTTCCTGTTCACCCTTGAACCTGAATCTCGGTCCCATTCCTAGAGGTAATTACTTTCTGGTTTACTGTGTAAACCCTCACCTCACCCACAGAGACTGGGAGTATGCCAGAGTCATTCACACAGATTCCTTGAATACACTCAGAAGCATGCCATAAATATCGCTTTGTGTTTTGCTTTCTCCTCCTTATACACATAGGAGATGCTCCTTTATAGAGCAGCATTCAGCAAGTCTAAGTGTTAAAAATATGCAGAAAGAA